TGAAATAGACCACCCGCGGAGGGTGAGAAGGGAATTTTTTTTTTTTTTTATATATATTTGCTATTCTCTGAGGGAGCACCAATCAGCCATTAATCGTCTTATTATAAAGCTTTGACTATTGCCATCATGCAGAAAAACAGTGTTTTTTCAACAATGCACAGAAGAAATCACTTCATAAGAAATATTTACGAGTTACCATTATCAATGGTAGAACCGTACAGCCACCAATATGTAAGAGCTGGCTTAGAGAAATATAAGCCTTTCCCACATCTCTCATACACAAGGTTATGAGGAAATTCTTTACCAAGGAATTTCTTATTCTTCATCAATATCTTGACTTTGCGAAGTGGAAATGACACATAATAAGTGGAACACTCAGATGAGTTCAATTTGATCCATAAACAATTAAGCGATCATTTATTTACATAAATTAAACAAATCATGAGGTAACAACTTAATTGTGGGTAATCAGTTTCCTATAACAAGTTTTCAGAATTAATAAGATACAAATCCGCGTCCGAATTCAATTCATATAAACTCAAATTACTTATAATAGAACAGTAACGTCAGTTCTGATATTGAATACCAAATATTTTCTGGCACATTAACTTAATTTCTGGCAAGGAAAATAGTACAACAAAAGGAGCAATAGTAAGGTTAGTATTTCTACTGTTTTACTTTTTAACAAAATGTGAGTCAACCGGAACTGCACGTCTTTTCTGAACCCAGTTTTTGCCGGACGTGATCACCAAACACTTCAGCCTTTTACCTGATGCTGACTTCTTTAGACACCCTCTGAGTAGTCAGGCTGGCTCACCTCCGATCAGTCAGAAAACTGTTGTCGGTTCGCTCACCGGTCATTGGCAAAACATGTTATTTCTCTGGTAACCTGCGTCTGCCTCAGTCCTGAGCCAGAAAAGCGAGCTGAATCCGGTTTCTCCTTCTAAATAAAATCACCTTCACCATCGGAAGGAAAAATTTATTGCTTTGGAGGTTTTGAAACCTTGTGTGGGAATCCGACATGCTTGTCGAATCCCTGGCTGTAAAAACCCACTCTTTGCCGCTTGAGTCGGATTTTCAGCTCAAAAGCTGAGTTCCTCCGAAGAGGTGCAACAGCTGCTTCTTTGTTTGAGTTAGGAAGTCAGAGTGTGTGTCTCAAAGCCGTCCGGGTTAGTAATAAGAGCAGACGACTTTGGTTCCTGCCCTCAGGCTTACAGATGAGTCAGAGAAAAGGAAAGTGTAAAGATTTCACCAGGCGCCAGTCAAGGTTAGCTGTATGGTTGTACAACAAACATCATGATAACCTCTTTTTAGCTTTCCTCTGATTGACTCTAAAAGAAATCACTGCAAAACATTTTATGATGATTAACTGTAACATTTCTGTTTATAATCAGCTCTGAACCTTCTGTTAGTCCAGACAAATGAAAGATTTTCTCAGGAAAAAATCCACAATTATATTACTGTGTTCACAGTAAAACAAAAACAGTGATTTACATAAAAACACAATGAAAACATTGTAATCAGATTCTCTGTTATTTTTATACCATTATAAATATTTAAGGCACAATAAGAGAAAAGAAGTGGTTCCACTTTTCTTGTGACAGTCTTTATCATGATTTAACAAATGCATAAACATTCTTAGTTAAACAACAAATGAATCATGAACAGAAGAGATTGTTCTGTCCATTATCTGATTAAGAGAACTGAGGGGTTCTCTTCCACGGTTAGAATGACCTGTCATGGCCTAAATAGAGTTCAGTTTGTAACAGAGTTCCTGTCCTCTTGTCAGGCCTGTTTGAGGCCTGCTTAGAGCCTTCCGCCTCAGTTTCTAACCCCACCCCCCACCCCCTCTGCGCTCCAGTCTCACCCGATACGATACTCTGATCATTTTAAGTAAGCAATCAGCTGTTCATTTTAATTTGTTCATTTAGTTAATCTCAGATAACTTATAGACAGATTCAGTGGCACAAAAAGTTTTTACTTTTGAAATTATTTCAGTATCAGTCGGTGTTTCTCTTCATCTCTTCACATGAATCATAATTAACCATTAAACTGCTGGAGGAAGTGAGACTCACGTGTCTTACTGCGCATGCCTGATCAGGAAATCTTTGATCCATCCAGTGGGTCTAGTGAACAAACCGTGAACGTGCATCATTCCCAGATTATTTACAGCTGGCTTGAATGAACCACCCTAATTGAGCGCGGCTTAGTGTTAGAACAACTGATTACATCTGTTTACGGCTTAAAGCTCATATCCTGAATTTAGAAATCTGACTTTTGTGCAATAGGCCTCAGGTCAAAGACATATTTGCACTAGTATTTGTTATGAGTGTGTTTTGAGACGTATTAAGCGTGTTTTTGTTTCTGTGCCTGCAGTCAGGGTTATTCCAGCTCACATGGACGCCTCAGACCTGCTGCCAGTCGTTCTGGAGGAGACAGGAGGGCTGGGGGTGGACATAGTCGTTGATTCTGGAGGTAAAACTTGAGCCTGCTGATGAAAACACAGTCAGACCTTGACACCAACACTCAGGTTGTGTTCAGTTTATCAGTTGTGTTTCTGTGTGAGAAGTTTGTCTTCACAAAGACGAGGAGGAGGAGGGAAAGGACAAGTTCCTTCCTCACAAGCATGACATCATCAGTGTACTGGGAGTGGGTGGACACTGGGTCACATCCCACCAGAACCTGCAGGTCAGTCATCTTTCTTAGCCTCCTTTTCTCACTCTTCAGTCCCGTAAAGCAGACTTTATTCCAGGTTTGAAAAGAAAGCAGGTGTCAGCGTGTTTTTGTTTCTGTGTGCAGCTGGATCCTCCAGACTGCAGGTTGCTGCATCTAAAGTCAGCCTCCGTGTCTTTCCTCAACCCTGAAGTTTGGACAGCTTCATCGGCTCAGCAGGGCCGGTACCTGCGTATCCTGGCCTCAGTGCTCTGTACGGTTCCCTCTGCTCTGTAGCTCTGTGATGAACTTTAACTGCTGCTGTCAGATGTTCTCAAGGACATCGTGGACAAGATGTCAGCTGGAGTGCTCAGGTAGCTCACAATCTCACATTTAGTCACAAATATTCAGCAATCTTAAAACACTAGAAACTAAATTATTCTATAAACTATAATAGTTTTTGTCTCGTAACTTCCCCATAGCGTTGAAATAAAACATGCAAATTATAAACCACAACATGTGGAACCTGCTTCAGCTACATCTCACTGATCTCCTGTGGTATTGTTTTTATTTTTAGATTGATGGTTCTACAGCTCAGACTTCACTGTAGAAACACAAGTTCTACATCATAACGTGGACATTTTCTCTTCTTCCACCACATCTTTTTTTCAAATTCCCAATACAATATCAACAAGCTCACATTGTGACTGCTGAGTCAGCATTTACATTTCCTGTTATAGTTGCTGACTCAGCACTCATTCTGTGGTTTTTACAGTTTATTTCAGACATTATTTACAGTTAAACTACTTCTTCATACATTTATGATTTATGAACTTCTTAAACAACACGAAGTTCACTTCAGTCTGAAAAGCTGTTCAGGGACTTCAGGTTTTTGTAAATCTGATACTTTTTTTAAAGTCCATTTAAAATAAAAATCCCAATTAAAGTTAGATCCATTAAACTAAATGTAACCTTAGAATATTTTTCCTTTTAGTAAGTTTACCAGATTTTAGCCTGTGTTCAGCTGCTTTAGTCTGCATGTAGCTGCTTTTAGCCTGTGTTTAGCTGCATTTAGCCTGTGTTTAGCCGCCTTTAGCCTGTGTTTAGCGCCTTTAGCCTGTGTTTAGCGCCTTTAGCCTGTGTTTAGCCGCCTTTAGCCTGTGTTTAGCGCCTTTAGCTTGTGTTTAGCGCCTTTAGCCTGTGTTTAGCCGCCTTTAGCCTGTGTTTAGCGGCCTTTAGCCTGTGTTTAGCCGCCTTTAGCCTGTGTTTAGCCGCCTTTAGCCTGTGTTTAGCCGCCTTTAGC